CGTACTAATTTATTACATGTTAACCGAAATTCTGAAATGTGCTTTCGAATCGAAAAGTTCTTTGGGTAGGGTTATAAAAACAGACCTGGTGCAGCCTACTGCCACAGGCACATCACGATGCCTGCAAAAATGCCACTGCCCATGCCCTTCTGTGTACTGATTTGATATTATATCTTCAAATGTTGCACCTAAGAAAAGTATCTTTCGGTTGTAAAAAACTTTTCCAATTCTTGAATAATTGTGATGCGGACCTGCGGTTCGAAAAGCACCGCATGATGCTGCAAACATTTATTTGAGGCAAACTCGCGCATTTCTGTGTTCTTCTTTGGAAGATTTTATGTAGGGCTTATACAATTATGCAAGGGATGTGGACCATTTTTACTTTATAGGCAGCATTAATAAATGGAGAATGAAACTTTTTTAAACCGAAAGATACCCTTTCCGAAAGGATAAAATTTGAAGAAGACGCAAATTGTCTATCAAATGAGTAAAATAATAGTTTCGTGCGTTTTTTCTATAAAGCATACTTGATTCATACAGGTATCCAAAATCAATCAAAGAATGTCATACTACTTAAGCAATACGCATTTTATCGACCGTAATTTTTATCGGAAGGAAGCTAGTACAAAAGCCGGCATCCTGCCGATGTTACTGGCATATCTTGGCATTACACAGCACGATCATCATTTCTACAAGTCTGCTTGGACAATTTTTCTCATTGATCCTCGACGCTAGTATTCAATTATATGTTACGGAATTGAAAGACGGGCATCTTAATGTAGTTAACCAAGAGAGAAAATTCTTTGGGAAAATGTAAATCGTAATGCGTAAATCTTCGTGACTGGTCCCCCACCTCGTCGTCAGACTAGGAGACATGTACAAAGGCAATTGAGTAAATAAACCACGCCCGACAAAGGATTCTACGGTCCGATTTTTTTGCTCATGCGCCTTACCAGCATGTTTTTCATTTAGTCGTGATCGGTTGTGCGCGTTAGAACTTGTTCTTGTTCCAATTGTCAAAAAAAATCAGAATTACGGTTGACATTTCATGGGGATAGCAAATCTACTCTACCACTAGACGATAAACGTTAGCAGTGTTCATTCTTCGCCGGAAGAAAGGTGACTTGCCAAAAAGGACCCGGGACCATTGCTCCCTGTCTCTCTAACTGTCCAACGAAACCTTATTTTTTCAGGCGACGGAATCTGCATCTTACCAGGTCAAAACGAAACGAATAAAATCTTTTTTACGGCATAACATGAACCCAGCTACCATTTGTCGTTATTAATGAACATACTAGAGCTCAACCGACCCGTCTGCGTGAACAACTTTGTGCATTCTATCGACTCCCGGTCTGAAGACACTTTATTT